CAAGGGGCGTACAATATAAGGTCCCTAATTCACATTCAAACATACACATACTAGGGCCAATTAAGACAGGATCCAATTAACCTACTAGCATGTCTTTGAAGTGTGGAAGAAAATCAGAATACTCAGAGGAAACCAACATAAGCACAGGGGGAACATGCAAATTCCATGCAGGTAGTGTTGTGGTTGGGATTTGAACTGCACGGTTAGCATCTCTGCCAGGCAGAAGAGCTAACCACTAAGCTGCCACAGCATAAAATAATAATAAAAAAAAAAAACATATATATATATTTTTTTAATTTAAAGTGAACATTGCGTCTATCTCTTTAGATCCCCTAAGCAGACCTGCCTTTTTACTGCAAGTTCTTTAAAAAAAAGTATTATTGATTGACATTCACAGAACTTTGTTACAAAGCCGGGTCAACCTCTGTTCAATTTTAAAAACATCCTTGATCTGACAAATACTTTTCTTCTGGCTGGAGAACACAAAAACATTCAATGCTGTCTTACTTCTCATTAACAAAAAAAAGTCTCATTAACATTCACCACATGGAGAAATACATCACTATGTTTTTTTGTTAATTGGTGAAAGAAATGACTTACACTTGGCTTATCGCGTTCCCACAGGACTGCCTGTAGCTGTGGGGGAAAATCCCACTGCACTAGATCAATATGTGGAGAGAATTGTGCCAAAAACTGAAATGTGGCTCCAACTCAAACATGTATTACAGAAAAGCTCTAGTAGTGATAAAAATTGCCAGCAAAGATACCGCACATACTATTGGGTTATGTGCACATCTTCTGTGGGCTTCACAGAATAAACTATTATATACTATGCGGATCTATGCAACAGCAGTCTCTCCCTAAGCCTCCAGGGAAACAGGCACTTCTGTTGTGAGCTGGGATTAACAAACTGTTCACATAACTACTGACAACTGGAAATACATTTTGTGGCTTTTTATATGTCTACCATTTTTATCTGTTTACATCTCTCTGTAATGATAATGTTGCTTTTGTGAAAAAATAAATGCTATTATTATTATTATAATACAGGATTTAAATAGCACCAACAGTTTGTGTACCACTTTCTGCTAGATACACTTTGTAATTGTTTGGCATTATTTAATAAAAAGAATGGTGATTCTTAGTGGAAGCTTGTCTGACTGGCTCCTGTTTTTAACAGATGTCTGCACAGTGCTTGAAGCAGGGGTGTAAATTTTGGGGGGGAACCTGGCCCCATGGTATAGGGGGCCCATGTGGCTCCCCTGTACACCTTGATAGGAGGGGTGGTATGTAGAGGAAGCGATGCCCTCCAGGGGATCAGTTCCTCTATATGCCACTCCTGCTGCCCCTCCTGTCCAGGTCCTGCTGCCCCTGGCCCCGTGTAGTCTCATCGCCTCCCTTCGCTCCCCACATATCATGAATTGGAAAGGTTTGAAATGTTTGAAATCTTGTCTGATCAAGTATATCTATACCCAAACTTTTTTGAGTTATGGATAGAACGGAGAAGGGTTAAAACCCCTGTCAGATTTTGCTGCTATTCGGGGTGTCCTTAGAAAGGTTTCTCTTTACTTTCTGTTATAGGAACAGCCATTTATTGACAGGTATACATGGAAATTCTAAAATAGGGAAACATGCAATAACAAGCTAACAGAGGTTATAGCATTCCCCTTCTTAACTTAAAAAAAGCATCAAAGTGTTGTGCTAATTGTTTTGCTCTTAGATATATTTCCTCTCATTTTTTGTCCCAGTAGAACGACCAACAGCAGTTAAACTTGACAGGCGTTTTAAGCCTTCAACGCTCTATTAAAAACAAGAAAAAATTTTTTTGGACATGGATACACTTTAAACAGTTGTGGACACAGGGGGTTTATTTACTAAAGCTGGAGAGTCCAAAATCAGACTCCCTTCTGCATAGAAACCAATCAGCTTCTAACCTCAGCTTGTTCAATGAAGCTTTGGCAATGAAACCTGGAAGTTGATTGGTTTCTATGCAGAAGGGAGTCTGATTTTGGACTCTCCAGCTTTAGTAAATAAACCCCAGGATGTCTACACACTCTACAAAACTCAATCAGTACACAGGCTGTGTGAAAATATATATAGACCCTCTGAAGCAGCGTTTATAAATACAGTTCAAACCCGAGTACACAGTACTCTGCCTCATTCATCTGCAGATCAAGGGGAAATAGCTTTGATGTGCATGATATCATCTAAAGCAACCTGAGAAGTTAAAAAAAGTTCATATTTAACCATTTATTAATACTTAATTTACCCTAATTAGACCTAATTCCTTCTTCCCCTTTTCCCCATAACTATCATTATCCTGCTGATTTTTTGTTAATTTTTTGTTATAAACTTTGTTTTTTTTTTTTTTATGTTGTTGGTTAATTTTTTTTAGTATTGTATTAAAATATTTGAAAAATTGGCAAAAAAAAGCCTTTATTTTATTTGTATATATAACTTTGCAATACTTTGTACTAGAATCATAATTTTAGTGTCATTTTACAGAGTGAAGAGGGATTTTGATATTAACCTTTCAATTTCATAGTATTGATATTAAAAAAAAAAAAAGAAAATCTTGCCCTGCAAAATAATGTAGTAATGTGCTAATATGCACCGCATACTAGCACGCTATGAAAGACTTACTTTAGAACAAAGCCATGTAGCGGCACGCTGTCTCTGCTGACAGGGCATCCATATTCACCCGGTCTTCCTTTCAGGTTTGCAGACTCTGGCCGCTTGGGCATGGTGCAAAGCTCTGAAGGAACAGAACGAGCATGCAGTTCCTTCACAGCGCATGTGTTGGTGGCGTTATCGGCTGCAAGGACACTGAATATCTCCTAAACGGTGAATGTTTAGGAGATATTCCTTGCACATACAGGTAAGCTTACCTGTAGATACAAGTGTCCAGTGGGAGTTATTATTATTATACAGGATTTATATTGCACCAACAATTTGCTCAGCGCTTTACAATATAACGGGAGACAATACGGAAACAGTACAGTTCAATACAAGAGGGATAGGAGGGCCCTGCTCCTCGGAGCTTACAATCTAGGAGGGAGGGGCTACTAGTGGTACAAAAGGTAGTAACTGTGGGGGATGGACTGGTTGGAAGAGTAGAAGATTCCATTATTAGCTGAGGGCAGGATAGGCTTCCCTGAAGAGATAGGTTTTCAGAGATCACCTAAAAGTAAGCAGAGTAGGCGATAGTCTGATAAATTGGGGTAGAGAGTTCCAGAGGATGGGAGAAGCTCTGGAGAGGTCCTGGAGACAAGCATGGGAGGAGGAGACAAGGGAGCTAGAGAGCAGGAGGTCTTGTGAGGATCGAAGAGTACGGTTTGGGTGATATTTAGAGATAAGATCGGTGATGTAATTTGGGGCTGAGTTATAAATGGCTTTATACGTTATTGTTAATGTTTTGAATTTTATCCGTTGGGGAATGGGAAGCCAGTGGAGGGATTGGCAGAGAGGGGTGGCAGATACAGAACGGTTAGTAAGGTGGATGAGTCTGGCAGCAGCATTCATGATAGACTGAAGAGGGGATAGCCTGCGATGAGGTAGGCCAATGAGGAAGGCGTTACAATAGTCAAGGTGAGATATAACAAGGGAGTCAATAAGTTGCTTAGTGGTTTCCGAGCTTAGGAACGGGGCGTGTTGAGGAGGTGAAGTCTACAAGATTTGGACAGCGATTGGATTTGGGACTGAAAGGACAGATGGGAGTCTAGGATTACACCTAGTACCCTGGCATGAGGGGAGGGACTGATGATTGTGTTATTGATCTTGATAGAGAAGTCAGGGGAGGGGGCACGGGCTGGGGGGAATACTAAGAGCTCAGTTTTGGAAAGATTGAGTTTGAGGAAGTGGAGTGACATCCATGCCGGTATGTCACTTAGTAGGTTAGTGATGCGAGAGGAGACTGAAGGGGTGAGGTGAGGGGTAGAAAGATAGATTTGTGTGTCATCAGCATAGAGATGGTACCATGGGCGGACTGACCATTCAAGCACTAAGGCACTGCCCTAGGGCTCGGGGTCAGTAGGGGGCCCCATGAAATGCCCCTGGTACCTTTTATAGGCTTTTTTTGGGTGTGCTTTGAGTGTGGGCAAGGACACAGGGGCCCCATGATCCCCTATTGCCCAGGGGCCCCATGAGCTGTCAGTCCACCCCTGGATGGTACTTAAAGCCATGGGAGTTTATCAAGTGACCAAGGGAGGAGGTGTACATGGAGAAGAGAAGGGGTCCAAGGACAGAACCTTGAGGGACCCCTACAGAGAGAGGGCGTGAAGAGGAGGAGGCAGCAATATAGGTAACGCTGAAGGAGCGCTGCAATAGGTAGGAGGAGAACCAGGAGAGAGCAGAATCTCGGAGGCCAAGAGAGTGGAGTTTTTTGAGGAGGAGGTGATGGTCAACATTATCAAAAGCTGCAGAGAAGTCAAGTAGTAAGAGTACGGAGTAGTGGCCATTGGTTTTAGCAGTTAACCACTTGCCTACCAGGCACTTATACCCCCTTCCTTACCAGGCCAATTTTCAGCTTTCAGTGCTGCCACACTTTGATTGACATTTGCGCGGTCATGCAACATTGTACCCATATGAAATTTTGATCATTTTTTTCTCACAAATAGAGCTTTCTTTTGGTGGTATTTAATCGCCACTGGGCGCTTTACTTTTTGCGCTATAAATAAAAAAAGTGCAAAAAATTTGAAAAAAAAAAAAAAAAAGTTTCTTTGTTTCTATTATAAAATTTTTCAAACAGGTATTTTTTCTCCTTCACTGATGTGCATTGATGAGGCAGCACTGATGGGCACTGATGGGCGGCACTTATGGGCAATGATAGGCAGCACTAAAGGGCACTGATAGGCAGTACTAATGAGGTGGCACGGATAGGCGGCACTGATAGGCAGAACTAATGAGGTGTCACGGATAGGCGGCACTAATATGCAGCACTGATAGGTGGCACTGATAGGTGACACTGATGATGGGTACTGATAGATGGCACTGACTGGCATCACTGCTGGGCACTGACTGGTGGCACTGACTGGCACAACCGCTGGGCACTGACTGGTGGCACTGCTGGGCTGCACTGGTGGGTGGCACTGGTGGGCAGCACTGGTGGGTGGGCACAGGTGGGTGGCACTGGTGGGCACAGGTGGGTGGCACTGGTGGGCACAGGTGGGTGGGCACAGGTGGGTGGCACTGCTGGGCACAGGTAGGTGGCACTTCTGGGCACAGGTGTGTGACACTGCAGAGTGGCACAGGTGGGTGCACTGCTGGGCACAGGTGGGTGAACTGCTGGGCACAGGTGGGCGGAGCTAGTGGGCGCACTGCTGGGCACAGGTGGGCGGAACTTGTGGGTGGCACTGCTGGGCACCAATCATCAGGGCCTGATCATCAGTGGCCCTGATGATCGGTGCCGATCCTCGCTCTGACAACTGCCGGTTCTCGGCAGTACTTTCCTCACGATCTGACAGCGTGAGGAAAGTGCAGCCGAGTGCAACCGGCACTTGCATTTCCCTGTGATCAGCGTGTCATTGGACACCGCTGATCACATGGTAAAAGGCCGGTATGATCGGCCTTTTACCACATCTCGTGATCAGCTGTGTCCGTAGGACACAGCGATCACGGAGATCGCCGGGTGCGCGCCCCCTGGGGCGCGCAGGAGAGCGCGTTCTGGGGGGACATCATATGACGTCCACCCAGAACTGGCCGGCCACAGTGAAGCCGTCATTCGGCTATCTGCGGTCGGCAACTAGTTAATAGATCATTAGTGAGTTTTAGTAGGGCAGTTTCAGTGGAGTGTAGTGAGCGAAAGCCAGACTGTAAAGGGTCAAGCAGGTTGTTGTCAGTGAGGTAGGAGCTCAGGCGATTGTAGAGCGTTCTAGGAGTTTAGAGGTAAATGGCAGCAGGGAGATTGATCTTACGTTGTTCAGGTTGGTGGGGTCCAGGGAGGGCTTTTTAAGTATGGGAGTGATGTGTGCATGCTTTAGAGGGGAGGGGAAGGCACCGTTAGAGAGGGAGAGATTGAAGATGTGAGTGAGGGAGCTTAGGATGGAAGAAGAGGGTGACCGTAGTAGTTGTGAGGGGACAGGATCCAGGGGGCAGGTAGTGAGACGGGCTTCTGAGAAAACCTTAGTGACCTCTTCGGTAGTAGCAAGGTCAAAAGAGGAAAGTGTTGAGGGAGGTTTAGTATAAGGTATGCTAAGTGGGATTGATGTCTGTGCAGTGGCAATGCCCCTACGAATTGCATCAATCTTGTTTTTGAAATGATTTGCAATCTCATGAGCAGTGAGTGAGGCACTGGGTGGAGGTTGAGGTGGAGAAAGTAGAGAGTTAAAAGTAGAGAAGAGACGATGAGAACTGGATGACAAGGTATTAATAAGAGTGACAAAGTAGGCTTGTTTGGCAGCATGAAGGGAGGAAGTGTATGTTAAGAAAGCAGATTTATATAGGGTGAATGCTTGTTGAGATTTGGTTTTACGCCACAATCGCTCCAGCACACGGCTATGTCGTTTAAGATATCTGGTGTCGTCAGTCTGTCAAGGTTGTAACGGTCGAAGCCTGATGCTTCGTGTTGTTAGAGGAGCAAGTGAGTCTAATGCGGATGAAAGCGAGCTGGTGTAGACAGTAGTAGCCAGGTCAGGGCAGGACAGGGGAGAGATTTTGTCATAGAGTTGGTCAGTTGCAGAGTGGAAAGGAGCAGTTTTCAAGTTGTGAAGTTTTCTGCAGGTAATTGTTTGCCGCTTGGAGGGATAGGTATTTGAAGACAAGGAGACTGTGAAGGTGATGAGATTGTGATCAGAGAAAGGAAAGGGGGTGTTTGTGAGGTTGTAGGGATTGCAAAGATGGGAGAAAACAAGGTCTAATGTATTCCCATCAGAGTGAGTGGAGGACTGTATACAGTACATTGCGCTAATGCAAAAGATGAGGTTATGTTGAAGAGTTGGGATGTAGCCGGGTTGTTGACATTAATAGGGATGTTAAAATCTCCGAGAATGATAGTGGGTAGTTCAGAGGAGAGAAAGTAGGGTAGCCAGGCGGAGAAATCATCAAGAAAGAGGGACACCGGTTCAGAAGGCCGATAGATCACTGCAATCCTCAGAGAAATGGGAGAAAACAGCTGAATGCAGTGAGTCTCGAAAGAAGAGAAGGATAGAGAGAGAGAGGGTTAGGGAGGACTTGAAAGGTGCTCAGTGGGGATAGAAGCAAACCAAATCCACCACCTTTCCGACCACTGGGTCTGGGTGAGTGGGTCCAGAGGAGGCTTCCATAGGAAAGTACTGTGGGAGAAGCAGAATTTGCTGCTTGGAGCCAGGTTTCTGTTATTGCTAGTAGGTTAAGGCAATGGGAGACAAAAAGGTCACAGACAGAGGTGAGCTTATTACAGACAGAGCGGGCATTCCAGAGGGCACATGAAAAAGGGAGGGTGGTTTTTGGGAGCACGGGGACTGATATTAAATTGAGGGGATTGCGACTATTCCCGGAAGAAAGAGGATGCCTGGTGTGGGGGGTGAGATAGTGGAGGACCAGGGTTTAGGGAGATATCCCCAGAGGTTAGGCGAAGAAGAAGGGTGAGGAAAGTAACATGGGAGCGGGATGTACACGAGTGCACATGTCTTCCAGTCCTGGTGTTTGGGTCAGCAGGTGAGTGAAGTATCAGCAGGAGGTGATGAGAGTAGTAGGGAGATGGTTGCAGTGAGGATGAGATGTACAAGTTTTGGGGTGGAGCAGAGGGGTAAAGAAGTGAGATTTTGGGAACATAGGACAGTAATATGAAAAGGAGGAGTAGAGGGGACATATTAAAAGGTACACGGAGTGGGACTCAGACTTGTAGGAGATGTTTCCCGGGTGTTTGCTTGCAGTCTGTCCAGCAAGCAGTCGAGTTTCTTGTTGGTGTTTCTTCCTGCTGCCTGAGTTATCCTGCTTTAGTTAAACTGCTGTGTTCAACTGCTCTTAGCACTCCTTCAGAAACAGCACTCACGCAAAATCAGCACCCCATCTGTGACCATGCCCCCGTCTGTGATCCCCCCCCCCCCCCCCCCCATGAGCTGATCTAAATTTATAGGGAAATGGTCAAATGAGCAACTCCTCTCCACCCCAATTAGGAACTGATAAGGATCACATGAGATGGGGGGAGGTTTCTCAAACACAGACCAGACACAGGCCACAGTCATAAAAGAGTGCAGCAAGAGGTGAGAGCTACTCAACATAGAGAAAAATATATATAAACTATTTGTTCTGAGATTAGCTGGAGTCCATGCGTTGTTTCAGTTTAGAATGGAGAATAGCAGATAGCAGCAAATTACCCAGAGACAGCTAGAGTCTATGCGTTGTTTCAGTTAAGAATGGAGAAGAGCAGATAGCAGCAGGTAATTTACTTCCCTTTTAATTAGAATATACATTAAATTGTTATAGTTACTATGTCACTTATTATAGGTACCTATATAGCACCATCAATTTATGCAGCGCTTTACACGTGTGTGTATACACAGTTGTGCTCAAAAGTTTACATATCCTGGCAGAAATTGTGACATTTTGGCATTGATATTGAAAATATGACTGATCATGCCAAAAAATGCTCTTTTATTGAAGGATGATGATCATATGAAGCTATTTCTTATCAAATAGTTGTTTGGCTCCTTTTTAAATCATAATGATAACAGAAATCACCCAAATGGCTATCATCAAAAGTTTACATACCCTGGAATGTTTGGCCTTGGTGCAGACACACAAGGTGACACACACGGGTTAAAATGCCAGTTAGTGTCATTGTATAAATAGTCAATGAGTTTATTAGCTCTTATGTGGAAGCACTGACTAGGCTAGATACTGAGCCATGTGGATCAGAAAAAAACTGTCAAAAGTCCTGCGTAACAAGGTAATGGAGTTTTTTGCAGTGAGGAACAGAAGTATTTGAACACCCTGCGATTTTGCAAGTTCTCCCACTTAGAAATCATGGAGGGGTCTGAAATTCACATTGTAGGTGCATTCCCACTCTAAGAGACAGAATAAAAAAAAATTCAGGAAATCACATTGTATGATTTTTAAAGAATTTATTTGTCTTGCACTGGTGAACATAAGTATTTGAACACCTAAGAAACAGCAAGAATTCTGGCTCTCAAAGACCTGTTACTATGCCTTTAAAAAGTCCACCTCTACTCCACTCATTAATCTAACTTAGTAGCACCTTTCTGAGCTCTTTAAAGACACATGTCCACCCTACAGTCAGACGCCAACTACTAACATGGGCAAGACCAAAGAGCTGTCAAAAGACACCAGAGACAAAATTGTGGACGTCCACAAGGCTGGAAAGGGCTACGGGGCAATTGCCAAGCAGCTTGGTGAAAACAGATCAACTGTTGGAGCAATTGTTAGAAAATGGAAGACGCTAAAGACGACTGTCAGTCTCCCTCGGACTGGGGCTCCATGCAAGATCTCACCTCGTGGGGTATCACTGATGATAAGAAAGGTGAGGAATCAGCCCAGAACTACAAGGGAAGAGCTGGTCAATGACATGAAGAAAGCCGGGACCACAGTTTCAAAGGTCACTGTCGGTAGAACACTACGCCGTCATGGTTTCAAATCATGCATTGCACGGGAGGTTCCCCTGCTCAAGTCAGCACATGTCCAGGCCCGTCTGAAGTTTGCCAGTGACCATCTGGATGATCCAGAGGAAGCATGGGAGAAAGTCATGTGGTCAGATGAGACCAAAGTAGAACTTTTTGGTCTAAACTTCACTCGTCGTGTTTGGAGGAAAAAGAAGGATGAGTTGCACCCCAAGAACACCATCCCTACTGTGAAGCATGGGGGTGGTAACATCATGCTTTGGGGGTGCTTTTCTGTGAAGGGGACAGGATGACTGCACTGTATTAAGGAGAGGATGAATGGGGCCATTTATTGTGAGATTTTGAGCAACAACCTCCTTCCCTCAGTCAGAGCATTGAAGATGGGTTGTGGCTGGGTCTTCCAACATGACAATGACCTGAAGCACACAGGCAGGATAACCAAGGAGTGGCTCCGTAAGAAGCATATCAAGGTTCTGGAGTGGCCAAGCCAGTCTCCAGACCTAAATCCAATAGAACATCTTTGGTGGGAGCTGAAACTCTGTGTTGCTACGCGACAGCCCCGAAACCTGACAGATCTAGAGGAGATCTGTGTGGAGGAGTGGGCCAAAATCCCTGTTGCAGTGTGTGCAAACCTGGTCAAGAACTACAGGAAACGTTTGACCTCTGTAATTGCAAACAAAGGCTTCTGTACCAAATATTAACACTGATTTTCTCAGGTGTTCAAATACTTATGTTCAGCAGTGCAAGACAAATAAATTTCTTTAAAAATCATACAATGTGATTTCCTGATTTTTTTTTTTAAATTCTGTCTCTCAGAGTGGGAATGTGCCTACAATGTGAATTTCAGACCCCTCAATGATTTCTAAGTGGGTGAACTTGCAAAATCGCAGGGTGTTCAAATACTTCTGTTCCTCACTGTAAAGATGGAAAAGGACATAAAAAGATGT